TGTCATTTGATGTAATAAATTCCTTTTTGTTATATTTACATGTTGTTTTATGTATTTGGAAGCCGCCTAGAGTGGTCATAAGACCAGATAGGCTGGATATTAAACAAACAAACAAACAAACAATCAAATACATAAATACATAAATACATAAATAAATGCTGAATCTGTGGAACTTATATAGGTTTGACTCATCAAATCCATACTGATTCAGTGGGCCTACTCTAGTTGCAACTCACTAGAGGACTTCAGCCTTTACCTTCCCATAGTTTCTCCAGGGATATTGTGCAGAAATCTGTGCGCCAGCATTACCATTCATTATTGATAATTTCTCTGAATTTTTTTTAATGTAAGTGAATGAATTGGTGTATTTGATATTCACTATCCAGACCTATTTGTTCCCTTACATTCTGACATGATTGCTGCTTATATAGGCTGACTAGCAGGGTTGTCCCTGTGGCAGGAATCCTTTATTTCATTGAACACATGTGTGCTCTGGCTTTCAGCCAAAACAGTTTACAAATTAAACACTGGTGTTGGGAAGCATTTCCTAATTTTATTTTAAAATAACCTCTTCGGACATCAATCCTATTGATAGTCCCAGCTATATGAGTCCTATTCAATCAGTGGGATTTACATTAAGTGTTGACTCATGGCTCAACAAATGCCCTTTAACATATTCTGGCTGAAATTAGCAATAGGCCTAAAGGACAAAAATAGAATGAAATTCATGGAGTATTGAATGCTGCAATACTGGCCTTCTACTCTTTAGTAGAATTCTGTGCAATTTGTGGTGCCCATCTGTGTGGTCTCTTGGCCCCTGAGACTTCACTGTTGAAAAATAAATTCAGCCAAAAATGAAGAATCACAATTCCAGACACCTCCTGGCAACACAGCTCTCCATGTAAAGGCTGGTTTGGATCCTTTTACCTTAGAAGGATCCCAAAGAGACTTCCCCCCCAAAACTGGATTTTAAAAAATTCAGGTTGGTGGAAAATCAGGCATATGCAGCTCCAGTACCTCCACGGCTGCCCATCCCTAGTTTAGGTTGTACATGTATGTGTACAACAACAAATCATCATCATATAACAATTAAATAAAATGTCTGTGCTTTTCTATTTTTCACTTCCTATCTTTTTTTAAAAAAAGACCTCAAAGTTTGGCGCACAGATCCCGGCTCCATCTTCGACATTGATCCCTTAGAAGATAACATTCAGTCTAAAAGTCTACATATGCTTTCGGGTATTGTTTAATTCATGGGTTTCTCTGGTGCCTGTTTGTAGTGGTGGAACTAATATTTAATTAATTCACATTATTGCTAGTTTTCGGAAGTGATGTGTGTGCCACAGTGGCTTTTCTTTCCTGCGGTGGACCCATTCCCATATATGCTACAGGCATGGATATATCAAGTTAGATTTCACTTCCTCCACATAGTTGGGCCTCAGTGCCAGACGGCGTAGAACAGTTTGCTAAGGTCTCAACTGGCACAAAGAGAGAGTTTGGAACAGTTACTCGTCTGAGTGCAGTTTCCAGGCTATGCTGACTGGGAGAATCTGGGAGGTGAAATCTAAACAAGCTCTGCATGAATACTCGAAATATAGAGTAAAATTAACAATACTACTCTTTAATTTAAACAATGAATTTTTCCTCCAGTTATAAAATGAATTTAAAATACCATCACTTCAAAGGTTGAGTTGATTTTGCTTGGAGACCATTAGTTTTCTTTGTATTAACATGCTAATAAAAATGGTAATTCACTTGATTATGGGCTGTGACCAAAGACTATAATATCGCAAGGATTCTTTTAAACAAGTTACTGCACTGCACCTCTTAAAACTGTGAAATTTCAACTTCTTCAAGGGAGTAATATGCTTTCTTATGCAGATGGAACACTTAACCCTAGAGATAATCCTATATAGTTTAATTTCTGTGTGAGAAGCTGTCCTTTTTTTGTGCATTTCATAGGACCACTGTAACACTGGTTATATTCCTTTGTACAAGAAGTTGCTGAATGAAGAAATAACCATGTTGATAACTGTCCTAGTTTTCTATTTTTAATTATTTTAAATTTAAAACCCTCCTTTTTAAAATTTTCCTTAACTTCTTCTATAACTATCTTATTGCAGCATTGTGTTTCCCTTTTGTAGAAAAAGCAAGGCGTTACAATAAGCAACATTTACATTCTACTAGTACTTCTGGCGCTGGAGATGACAAGTCAGATGGTTCTATATTTTCTTATTCCAGCGAGGTAACAAGGCCATCTAATGAAGGAGGTACCCACAGATGTCCACGGTTTTTTCCTGATTAACAAGCACAATGTGTCTCTCCCTTGCACGTCACACATTTAACTTGTTTTTTTTCAGTGGAGGAACAGTTCTCTCTGTGTGAGAAAAAAACCTATGTTTCCCCCAACAATTAATATCAGAAATCCAGCAAGGTTTCTGCATACTCTTTAGAAGTGATTCACAAGTCCTAAAGGTTCCCCTTGACATTTTAGTCAGTCGTGTTCAACGCTAGGGGGCGGTGCTCATCCGTGTTTCCAAGCCATACAGCCAGCGTTTGTCCGCAGACAGTTTCCATTGTCACGTGGCCAGCATGGCTATACACGGAACGATGTTTACCTTCCCACCGAGGTGATACCTATTTATCTACTCGCATTTACATGCTTTCGAACTGCTAGGTTGGCGAGGAGCTGAGACAAAGCGACGGGAGCTCCCTCCGTCACATAGATTTGATCTTACGACTGCTGGTCTTCTGACCCTGCACACACAAAGGCTTGTGCGTTTTAGCCCGCAGCGCCACCACGTCCCTTCACAAGTCTTAGTGGTTCTCAGAGATAGTCATTAGATTAAAACATGCCCTCTTCTAATGAAGCTAATACAGTTCTGATTTTAGTTTTGCAGATGTGTGCTATGCAGAGTGCTTTTTCAAACATATGACTTCACTTGGAGGAGTACAATAGTGGTTGTGGTTGTGAAAGAAGTTAATGTGTGATTGCATCACAGGAGAAGTGGACGTTAACATACGTGTGTTTAGAATATAGAGACGAATACTGCCTGTTATTGGAACCTTCTAACCTACCTGCTTATAGTTTGGATCAACTGAGTTTGAGATCATTATGATCTTTTTCTTGAGATAATTTTGTAAAATACGCTATCTGATATATGACATCAGTAGGATATTGTAAGTATTGATATTGCAATGGCATAGCATTTCTAGTTATCAGTCTTGCACCCTAACACATGACTCATATTTACTCTGTGAATGGACTCTGTGTCCATGTACATACAAACATATGTACATATGAAAGTGACTGTGTAATTTGTATTAGCATTTTCTATCAGATGCACAAATGCTGTGTACTATGAAATTCATAAGATGAATTTTATAGTACTCAGCTATAAGTACTAAGTACTACAGCTAAAAAAAAACAGTTAAAAAATAAGGACCCCCAAACCTATCAAAATATGAATTTAATGAATTATTTAAATTATGTACAGATGTAGTCATCAATGTTTCAAACAGAAGAAAATCCAACAACTTCTGTCTTTTTATATATAAAAAAAGAATGGCATAGAAAAGACCAAGATTTGGGCACTTGTCAGATAAATAGGAGAGAACCCTCATCAGCAAGGTCTGCTAAGAGGACCTTCATACCTGAAGAGATTCTGAAGGGAAAAAGCACCTTGTAAAGTATACAGATTTTAAATTGTGGAAAGTGATATCCAGTACTTGTATTGAATCTTCAGGCACACTAGAGGCCGGTGTGGCTTATCTAAATAATATAAATCTATATGCAGATCATTTCATTAGATGAATTAGTGCATATGGCACTGTCTGGAGCTTCTGAGTGGTCTTTTTCCAGTTCCATGGGGGAAATTGATGTACTTAATAAGAAGAGTAACACACACATGAATAATAATGTCAATATACATGAATAATAGTCTTTGAACAAGGATTAAAAAAACACACCCGAAAAGCAAGTCATTTTGTCTGTTTGTCTCCACTCTGTGCAGTGTGTGTATGGAGTTGGGGGGATTAGGGATAATAGAGAACCCCAAACATGGCAAAACACATCCCATGCTCCCTATAAGGCAGTGGTCCCCAACCTTTTCTAAACCATCGACTGGTTGCGGGAGCGCAATTTGTGAGTGGGGTGGGGCACTCCCCCGTGCTCATGGGTGGGTGGGGCACTCTCACAGGTGGACAGGGTACACTCTTGTGCATGCATGGTGTGTGGGGCACCCGTGCATGCAGGTGGGCGGGCCGTGGATGCGGGTGGGCGTGGGGAGAGTGCGTGCAGGGGGCGGGAGATTTGTCTCCGTGGCCTGGTCCTGCCAAGTCCACAGACCTGCACCGGGCTACAGACTGGGGGTTGGGGAGCCCTGCTATAAGGGATAATACACTTTTTGGTCATTTTTATCTTTAGAAAAATATTTATTCAGGAGAGTTTGGAGGTGCGAGGAGTCTGCAGGGCTTAATTGGGACTTTCTGGGACCTGCACTTTCCTCACTTCCCGACAACACAGTGACTTAAGGTCTGGGCTGCTATGAAATAAAAAATGGTTACCAATCGAAGTTGAACTGTATAAGTTGTATAATTTGCAATCTCAGGAAATGTCTGTGATTGCTCTTATTTTGCCTAATTTTAAATCTATTTTGCACAGAAGACTTTAAAAATAAAGCTGAGATGTTGAGGAATTTTGCAGCTCCTATAACAGCCGCCCAGAGTAGTCAGTTGACTAAATGGGCGGGGTACAAATTCAATAAATAAAAATAAAACATTCTGTGATTGCTTATTTGTCTTAATTCGAAATATTTTACTTGCCTAATCTTTTATTTACCCTCAAAGAATTGCACCCAATACTGTAGCTATTCTCACAGTATCATGCTCTGCATCATTGCCAGATAATCAAAGCAGATTTAGCCAGAATGGTACCACGAGAAAGGAATTTGAATTGTTCATTATCTATAAAGTTGCAGGGTTCCTGTCAAATAATACTTTTCTGTTCTACGTTGTCACATTATTACAGTATTAACATATGTTATCCCATGTAACTTGGACAATGAGCCCTGGTCTTTTAGAGTTCCCTGTGCTCCTTTGTTGCTTTACTACTACTATATATGAGCAGAGCAGGAGTCACAACTCACAGGACCTGCGTGCTACTGTTCCAAACAGAATTGCAAATTATTTCTATAAATGAATATACATGGAGTACCAATATGTATGCTTGATGTTTTTGTCTGTGCTTTAAAGTGGGTTTTGTATTACATTTAATTATGTCTATGAAATATTCATTGCAATCTTATGTTCTGCTTGACTATATTTCCAGGCCATTTAAACTGTGCCTTGTCATCTCAGATTTTAGGCTTAAAACTGAATAATTTTAGTATTCACATTAGCATCTCACAACTGTGTTTTGCTTATTTGGAATTCTTATTGTTAATGCTTCACTTTCTAAAATTTGCTGAGATTGCCTGAATGGTAACCTATGTATATTCTATTGTGAAAATTCCATGTTAAAATCAATGGAAAATCAATTCCCTTGCCTAGAACATTTACTTCACTTCAATAGTTGACATTAGCTGGGATTGAAGAATAAATAAAATAAGGTACGATCCAGCCCAAGTCACACTTTTTACGGTTCCAAATAACTAAGCTATGAAAATTATTCTCAGCCCCAAATTACTTATTATATCTTATGTTTTTGTATTTACTAAGGAGATTTAGGGGAGGGAAGTTGTATTCTTTCATAGAGTATTGCAATGGATTGCTTATAAAGCACCCACAGTTATATAGTTTTCAAAATAAAAAAACAAAAACAAATGACAAGCTTTTATAAAATAAAAACAAAGACACAAAAGAAATGATTCGAGAAGAACAGGGCAAAGTAATGAGGCATCCACAAGCAAAGAATGTTCTGTTGTCAGTACTTATGCAAGCAGGTACTACATCTGGGTGTGGAATGGGGGTGGGTACCACCTTGGCTTTTGCCTTAGTCAGCAAAACCTTTGATGACAATCTCAGATAGAAGTACTACATGGAAAGATAGATCTAGAGCAGTGGTTCCCAACCTTGGATCCCCAGATGTTCTTGGACTAAAACTTCCAGAAGCCTTCACCATTAGCTGTGCTGTCTAGAAATTCTGGAAGCTGTAGTCCAAGAATATCTGGAGACTCAAGGTTGGGAAACACTGATCTAGAGAATATAAAGATACTGGCTTTGTTACACCTGCAGAAGGCAAACAGCGTAACTGATGGAAACCTCTTACTGGCAGTTAACGAGTTCTTGCTTGGATATTCAGGCCCACACACCAAACCAGTGGATGGGTGGGCATCTGAAACCCAAGCAGAGATTCTTTAATTGCCAGCAAGAAGCCATTAGAAGTTACATCATTTGCTTTACACCATATGCAACAGGATTCTGGCCGCTACCTTTTTTGTATTGTTCACAAGTTGAGGACATGGAGAAGAAAAAACATCCTCTGTTCCAGTTGTCTCTACTACTGTCTGGCAGAAGAGAGCTTGACTGCAAACTGCGAAAAAGGCTTCCCTTTTACAAGTCCATTTGGGTTTATGAAGATCTGAGTTCTTCTCTCTCCTCATGTTCAGTATGTGTGGTGGATTCTGATTTGAGAATGTTGTAAACTGTTTCAAAGATCAAAAGATTTCTTTGTACAAAACACTATCTTTAAGCTTTTAAGATTTCACAACCATTGTCATGATTACACATGGTTTGTTTCAGTGCATATCCTATTTAGAACTGTAGTGAAAGATGTAGTGAAAGTTAAGATTGCATCAGATTTTCTAGTTCAGTAGATAATCAAAACTAAACTACTTTTTAATCATACTTAATGGACCAGGAGCTTTTATGAAACAGCATTCATTTTGTTGTTGTTGTCTGCTTATCCATCCATGTGGAAAACCTGCTAATTTGTAATGGCTGTGTCATTTGTTCACATAAATGGTAAAGGTTTTACTCTATGGAAAACACTCAGACAATTTAAAAGGATTTGTGTGATTAAAACATCGTGAAAGGAAGGAAGACTGATGATTTTTCATCAGTGTCTCAGAATGATTTTCCCTCCCCCTTCTCCTGTTTTTTAAAATAAGGAATAATACAACCCCTTTCAGCTTGAGTCTAGGCAGTAGCTTGAATGGAGCCTGAAAGTTACATTCTCATGTAGCTTCTTGAGGGGAGTATAGATTTCTCAGTTGCCTTCTTTCTTCTACTTTAGAAACTCACAGCTCATCTTTTTCATGACCTGAACTATGCTTACCTTTTAGCTTCTCATTCATGCGATCCAGGTGGTGGACCTACATTTTTGAGGGCCCTGAAGCTTAAACTGTTATGGGGGGCCATTTGCAACTAGCAACAAGGTCTGGGTAACCACTGTTATCTTTTTCATTGGGGTTTTTTCCATGACAGATCACCACATATTTTTTTAAAATGTGAAATAAAGTTGCTTCTGAGGCCCTCCAGGATCAGGTGCCTTAAAGCTTAAAATTTGTTAGTTTCATAGTAGATCTGCCCCTGATGCCATCAATTCTACATTAGTTTAAACTTTATGGTTTAAAGGAACATGGTACAGAAACCTTCTCTAGACAATATCTGATGGAAACCGTTTGGGAACTGTGTGTTCCTAAACATGCTTCTATATTGTATAAAATAGGAACATTTATCTTACAAGATATGATACAAAAGTCATAAATAATATGTTAGCTTTATTATTTTTCTTCTTACTTTCTTCCTTTCATTTCAGTATGCTTTAAATGTACACTGTCTGTCTGTCTGTCTGTCTGTCTGTCTGTCTGTCTGTCTGTCTGTCTGTCTATCTATCTATCTATCTATCTAAGGACATCTAGAGTGATTTTTAAAAAGAAATGGCACCTTGGTGGTGAGTCCTCCTGCTTTTCATGGTGATATCAGAGGAGTACATACTTTCCACATGATAGCAATGCTGTCACACTGAATTTTCCCATCTATGACTGACAGTCAATGCTTAGGGTAGAGATGTTCGCAGCAAAGTGGCACTGAATCGAGTACAAAATCTGTCTCTGTTACTGTTGAAATGGGACAGTGAGAGTATAGAGATGCCATGATTGGCAGCATTAAACAGCAGAGAGGGCAACTGTGATACAATTCAGCAGAAAATGTTTCTAAGTATATACCATTGCTTACACTAATGTGTGCTTAACACAATTTTTAAAAAAGTATTGGTGGCCTCTTTGTGCCTCGTGAGGTATGATATGTTTCTAAAGAGCACTAGAACAGATCTCCAGTTTCGTTTAGAACTTCTTTTGAAGTTTTTGTTTTGCCTTATGGCCTTGGGGCAGCAAATATGGATTCAGGTAAATGAGTATCAGATTGTACTTATGCGTGTTCTTTTATTCCAGGTTAGTTAAAATATATTTTAGTACGGCAGATACTTTCGTTTCAGTAGAAATAATATAATGAATGGGTGTAATTTGTTCCCTACTGAGTTAGCTACGCTGATAACATCGACGTAACATTTACTGCTGCAGTTAATATTCAAAATATTTTGTTCTTCCCAGTTGCTCATTTGTTTCTTGTTTTCAGTTTAAGGTTATTTTTTGTGTGCAATGATTACTTTCTGCTATTTTTCCTTGCATCTCTCAGGTTTATTTTTTATTTTATTTCTTTATTACTTTAATTTATACAGTGGTGCCCTGCTTGACAATGATAATGCATTCCATTAAAATCGCTGTAAAGCGAAATCGTCATCAAGTGAAAGTAAAACCCCAATTGAAATGCATTGAAAACCGGTCAATGCATTCCAATGGGGGAAATACCTGCTCGTCCAGTGAAGATCCCCCATAGGGGAAGCCATTTTGCATCGCTGTCTTCCGGAAATAGGCCCAGAAAACAGCGGGAAGCCATTTTGAAAACCCGATGATCAGCTGTTTTTAATCGTCGTGAAGCGAAAAATCAGTTTACGAAGCAGGGAACTGATCGTCGTAAAACAAAAATACGCCATTGGAATCATCGTTTTGCAATCGCTATAGCGATCGCAAAAAACTTATCATCAAGTGATTTCGATGTCTAACGGGGTAATCGTCAAGCAGGGCACCACTGGATACCACTCCTTTAGTGCCAAAACGCTAATCAGGGCAGTTTACAAATGATTAAAACAAAGTTTCATGACAAAACACCAAAATATAACACAAATAGCAATAATGTGGTTTGAGAGCATTGTAAGGGTTAGTGGTTTTGTAACCCACTTTTATTTTAAAGTTGTTTGAAGTCCTGGAAAAACCCAAAAAGGCTTGGCACAATTGACTTGATGGCATATGATGATGATAGTGCATCTTATGTATAAAGAAGTCCTGTCCCCTTACTCATTCCTACTAATATAACCAGTTCCTATAGCTTTTTTAATCAAGAGAAGAAACCATCATTTCACCCACCCAAAAATTCTGTGCCATGTTCTCTTATACCTTTATATTTCTTTCCCAATACAGCCCCTGTGCTTCCAGGAGCATATCAGCAGGGCCACCCACAAGGATACGGTTACATGCACCAGACTAGTGTGTCATCTATGAGGTCAATGCATTCACAGCCTCATTCAGCTAACTTGGTGAGTGTTAATTCAGCTATTTCTTTAGTGACATCCTCTCTTCTGTAAATGTGCTTTTTTAAATATAGAAATAATCACAGAGCTTGTATTCAGAAACACATCTTCCACTTTATCATATGGACTCAATCTAGAGTGACGTAGGGATGAAAGACTCCAAACCAAGGAAACAAATATAGTGGTTGTTCATAAAACAACTCTATTACTCTTGCTGTTGAACACCAGCACTAGATACTATCATAAAACATGTTATTGGTTCAGATGTTTTTAAACTCATTTCTATTCTGCATGTCTTCTTTAAAGAAATCAGGATAACACACACTTAAAGTGTAAAGACAAAAATAGAATAATAGAACATTGCAGTCAAAATATCTAGAAGGGCTCAGAAGTCTAATTACAAAGAACAGTTCTGACTAGTCTCCTAAACAGAAGTAACGAAAGAATCTGAATTTTGATAGGCTGACACATAGAAGTATTTTTAAAAGGCAGACTAACTGGAGGTACACACTGCTGTGGAATAAATTAATTTCACAATAATTTCCCAGTAGGCTGAACACAAATTAAGTATATGTTTGCACCCCACCTCTCTCACCAGCCCTTTCTCTGGACAATTATGTTTCTCTTGGCTTATCTAATCCTAATGGTTAATAGTTTGCTTCGAAATACGTATTTAGGGCAATGTTTAAGACCTTAAAGTAGTATAAATCTAAAATTACCCAAACTATTGTTTAAAAACCAAGCTGCTGTAAGTAATGGTAATTAAGAACTAAATGTTAATTGAATTATGGGTGAGATTTCTTCTGATAGCCTTATTATATAATTACATAGAGCATGTCTGCACTTTCAAAAATCATTAAATGACGATCATCATTAACAGCAACATTACCATCATAACAAGCTTCTAAAGGTTTGGACTGAGTAATTTCCCCTCAGAATAATAAAATATTGGAGGTGTGGTTGTTGTTTTAATCAAATTGTTTCAATATATGGTCAAGGCTTCTGATATTTGATGTTATCAGTGTCTGTTGATGCTTCTAAAACATGCCTCATCTTTCAAAAATCTTGATAATGGAAGGTGGGTTTATATCAGAAGCAAGCAACCTGCTCTAGGTGTTGTTGGACTGCAGTTCACATCAGTCTCGGGCACAATGTTGAGGTATCATGAGAGTTGCAGTCTCTGATATAAATACAGTGGTGCCTTGCATAGCGACGTTAATCCATGCAGCAAAAATTGCTGCTAAGCGATTTCGTCGCTATCCGATTTTAAAAAGCCTATAGAAACGCATTAAAACCTGTTTAATGCATTCCTATGGGCAAAAAAATTACCTTAAAGTGAAGATCCTCCGTATGTCGGCCATTTTCGCTGCCTCTTAAGCGAGGAATCTGTCCCTAAACACAGCGGGCGGCCATTTTTTAACCCGGTGGCCATTTTGGAACCGCCGATCAGCTGTTTTAAAATCGTCGCTTTGCGATTATCGGTAAGCGAAACAGGGACCCGATCATCGCAAAGTGAAAAAAAACCATTTAAAACATCACAAAATCTTCGTCACAATGCGGTTTTGCCACTAAATGGAGCGCCCGTTAAGCAAGGCACCACTGTACTACTGATGATTTATTGAAAGCTTCTTTGAGTGGGATGGAGTAAATCCATGAACTAAACTCCTATGATTGTAGTGAATCTACTCTACTTATGGCTAGGCCTGCATCCAACCTGTTGGGATCACCAGACTCTTCACTAAAATATTTATGTGAATATTGAAACATTTTCTCCTTTTAAGGAGAAAGGCAGGGTAAAAATATTTTAAATAAATAAATAAAATTATTGCAAGCATTTTTTGATTTTCCATATCTCAGCAGTACTATAGTAGAGACTTCTGCTATCTTATATCACTACAAACATAGTAAATTGTAATATGGAAATGTATTGAATCATTTCTGACTACTCAGTAGGTTCAGCTAATGGAGCAAGTCGTATCTCCATAAATATTCAGCTATAATTTGAAGGAATAATTCTCTCTCACACACATGGGTGCACATGGAGACTGAAGGTGTCTGCGTATATAATAATAATAATACATAGGTACCATTAAGTCAATTCCAAATTATGGCAACCTTTTCCAGGATTTTTGAAGTATAGAGTATTCAGGTTTAAGTTCCTTTTGTATGGAGCCGCAGTGGGACTGCACAAGCTGGCTCTTCTCTGAGGGTGCAGAGTTTTGAAGTATAGAGTATTCAGAAGTGGTTTAAATTCCTTTTGTATGGAGCTGCACTGGGACTGCACAAGCTGGCTCTTCTCTGAGGGTGCACAGTGGGGAATCAAGCTCTCAGTCTCTGACTTTGCAGCCATATACCTAACTCACTAAACTAATCATCCAACTATATGTATGTGTATTTATCTGTGTATCATTTAATGTGTTTATGTACAGTTAGGACCCGCATTTTCCTCAGGACACATTGTTGCATTTAAAACCTATATACCACAATTTTGACGTAGACAAGTGTGACATATAGTTGGTTTAATACAGAATATCCAACATATTTGGGCCAGTGGATGTGGTTAAAATTTTGAGAGTTCTACCAGCATTCTCACAAAATGAGTGCCGTCCGTAGCAGGATTTCTCCATTATCACTGTATATTTATCTGTGTATCATTTAACGTGTTTATGTACAGTTAGTACCAGGAAAAGGACCCACATTTTCCTCAGGACACATTGTTGCTTTTAAAACCTATATACCACAATTTTGACGTAGACAAGTGTGACATATAGTTGGTTTAATACAGAATATCCAACATATTGGGGCCAGTGGATGTGGTTAAAATTTTGAGAGTTCTATATTTATCTGTGTATCATTTAACGTGTTTATGTACAGTTAGTACCAGGAAAAGGACCCACATTTTCCTCAGGACACATTGTTGCTTTTAAAACCTATATACCACAATTTTGACGTAGACAAGTGTGACATATAGTTGGTTTAATACAGAATATCCAACATATTGGGGCCAGTGGATGTGGTTAAAATTTTGAGAGTTCTACCAGCATTCTCACAAAATGAGTGCCGTCCATAGCAGGATTTCTCCATTATCACGATAATGCCACAGGTTCTGGGCCAGTTGACTAACTGTATATTTGGGGAATCTAGTGGTAATATCTTAATCAAAACAAAACAAATGAAATCAAATCAAGTCCTGGATTAAATGGATGGGTATATGATCCCAAGAAGCAATATCTATTAAAAACAGAACAGTCTCCTTGTTCAAAGGACCTTGTAATCAAAGGGAAGGCTATAATTTGAAAAGAGAGCAAGCTGAACACTTAATATCCGGGGGGAAACCCATCATGAGCAGGCTTGAAAGTAGTAGAGAGAGTGTCCACAAGCATAGTAGTGTCCGTTGTGTTGAATATCCAAAACATTATTTTATGTTGTTTTTATGTCCATTTGTACAACTCTGTCCCTCTCTTCTATGTGGACCTGTTGGTTGGCCTTGTAGACACAGAGTGAACAGAATTGGTATTTTGATGGCACTTTGAAGTACTAGGAATTTCATCCTTACTGTTCCAAGAAGAGGAGCTCTGTGATATATCAACCACTTTTGTTAACTGCCTGGTTGTGGAACATACTTATAGATTTTCCCTGTTTTTCTCTTAATAGAGAACATACAGGGCTATGTATGACTATAGCGCCCAAGATGAAGATGAAGTTTCCTTCAGAGATGGTGACTACATCATCAATGTGCAACCAATTGATGACGGTTGGATGTATGGTACTGTTCAGAGAACTGGGAAAACTGGAATGCTTCCAGCAAATTATATTGAATTTGTTAATTAATACTCACCAGTAGTCTTTCTGAGCTTTATTTTGAATTTACCTAATCTTTACAAAAGTACTTTTACAACCACATTCTCTTTACTTCCTTTCTTAATGTAACAATCTGTGCTCCTAAATTGAAATCAACAAAAGAGGTCTTCTTATGATATCCAAGAAGCACTGAGCTCCAAAAATATACTGCTTAAAATGATGTATAAGAGCGAGCAGTCAATCGGAACTGGAAACCTGGTGCTTGTAATCATGTAAAATTAGCTGCCAAACAGAATTCTGCCTTGACAGTAGGTTGTATTTCTCATTTAAGTTGTAACCACAAAGCAGCTGACTTTTTTTTAAGTTCCGTACTTTGAAATTGTTAGAAACTACAGCTTTCTGTTAAGGTTTGAGCTATTACAACTCCACAAGAACTGAAAATGTTGTGATGAATAACATGATCAAAAGTTGCTTACTACTCCCTGGCAGCCTTAAACAAAGTGTATCTTATTCGTAATGGTAAAAAGTTCCTGATAAACAATTGTCTTTCTGTATTTTTCTTGTTTACTCTCATCCATACTCCCAGCTCAAGTCAGTCTTCCCAAATCACCTCCTGCGAATGATCTCTAAGTCATGGCATAGCTGTGCCTTCTCTCTTTTCGCACAGCTAAGAGACAATTTTAGAATGTTTGTTACTTCCTACCTTTTCTATTTTGTTAATTCCAATATTTTTCTATTTTCCCTTGTACTGATGTTGTTTATATAGAAATGGTTATCTTCCAAGCACTTTACAAATAACATTTATCTCTAATCATTATTTTTGTCAAGAGTCTGTCTTGGTAATCTTATAACAGCGTTATTGTGAAAGCAAACATCTATATCCCTTACTTACGACAATGTAACACAATGAATTGGTTCATATAATTAACATGGGCTTGGATTTGGGACCTAATAAACAAGAAACATGATTTATTCGCAAAGGCTTTCACGGCCGGGATCTAATGGTTGTTCTGGGTTTTTCGGGCTCTTTGGCCGTGTTCTGAAGGTTGTTCTTCCTGATGTTTCACCAATCTCTGTGGCCGGCATCTTCAGAGGACAGCATCTTCAGAGGACAGTACTCTTTCACTTTTCTTCCAGTAGCACTTGCGTACATGGTCCTGTTCTCACGCACAAAGACAAACATGGCACACACATTGCAGGCCACCACCATGGAAGTATCTCTTCCTGCCGTAATCCCTGTTACCTTTTTAAAACTTTATTTTGTTTGTCTGTGAGTGCCCTTTCCTTATCTTATGATTCCTTCACCCTGAGTTTAGCTAAAGAAAACATAATTAGATTTTTAATAGATTTCCACACAATGAATAGAATTCATTGAATTGTTCAATAATCAAAGCATGATATTCACCTCAGAAACTTTGCCTTCACAAATAAGGTGAAAAATGCCAAATGATTATATTTACCAGACTTCTTTTAAAGAAGAAGCATAACTTAGTACTGTTGTGCTAATTGAACAGCTTGATTCCAATTACAGTGGTGCTTCGCTTTACGAGGATAATCTGTTCCATTCAAATCGCTGTTAAGCGAAATCCTCGTCAAGTGAAATGAAAAAGGCCATTGAAATTTATTTATTTTATTTATTTATTTCATTTATACCCCGCCTATCTAGTCAATTGTGACCACAATGCATTGAAAACCACTCAATGCGTTCCAATGGGCGAAATACCTCAGCGTTCAGCGAAGATCCTCCATCGGGCGGCCATTTTCTGGTTCCTGTAATGCGAGGAATCCGTCCTAAGCGCAGCGGGGAGCCATTTTGAAACCCGACAATCAGTTGTTTTCTGATCATCATAAAGCAAAAAATCGGTTCCCGAAGCAGGGAACCGATCATCGTGAAGCAATTTTTCCCATTAAAAACCAATCACAAAAACCTCATCCGTAAGCTATTTCCTCATCTAACAAGGTAATCGTCAAGCGGGGCACCACTGTACATTTAATGGAGTAATATGTTTCTAAACTTTTTAAAATCTGGTGACAGCTGGTGGAGTATGCTTAACAGAAAAATCTTGGGGAGGGTGAGGAGAAGGAGAGAGGTTCCATGGAAGTATTTGGTGCTGAATCCAACGGATACATAAGTAGCTAAGGCAAATGTTAAGATACAGTTTTCTGGTGCCTCTGGGTTTGATGTGTTCCCATCCTCACCCAGAATTCTGTTGGACAGCTGCCCAAGAGGGGTTAGGGTGTAATGGAAGGCATGTCCATCCAAGAGGCCCCAGCATAAATAAATCTGTTGGTGCCAGTACATTCTTATTGAGATTAGGCAGCAGGAAGAGGGAAGGTGGAGGCCATGTCCTTTCTGGGCACCCCAGTGGCACCTGTGGCATTGATCTATTTTTGTTGGTGTGGTCCCAATGCACAGCAATCAAGAAGGAGTGGGGATTTCAATGTGATCTGTGAGCGAGATTAAGGCAATCCAAATCTCACATCTTTGCCCCCTACTCAACAGCTAGCCTTAGCTAATCCACCTTTCTGCAGTCTTGATTCTCTCTCTGCAAATAGGAATAATATGTTACCTTATCCATCTCTTTGTAAGGATTGCAACAACATAATGCACGAAGCACCACACATAACATATAAATGCTAAGCATTTATTGGGTTGACATTTAAAGGCTTCCTTCTTACAGATTCTTTTTGGAACAGGACTGCTACCAGGTGAAGAAAACCTGCGAATGTAGCCTACTGTTACTGCTACTATGATAAGGATGGCAATGCATTTTCTCTCAAAAGAAATAGAAGAACAGAGGCCTATGAAATAATATGAGCAGAGATAACATTAATTTCTGCTGTCAGAACGTATTCCTCAGTCTACTGCATTTTCCCCTAGTAAGGATCATGAGGAAGCAAGGGTGTTAAGATATTTTCCTGTTTATGTAAAAATTGCTAGCATGTCTATCATTCACTTCTGTTCTACATTTATAGTGTTCAAAATGCCATGAAAAAGGTGAATTATAGAGAGAGCCTATTTTTCTACCTACTCGGCTTTGAAAGAAGGGATAATTTATTTCTTATTTTTCTCTAGCCAAATAAAATGAAGAGTGTTGTGTTGTTTTTTTAAAAAATCAATGCCAGATAAGGAAATACAAAACCAAGTTAAGCTCTTCTGATAGATTGGTACACACACACACACACACAATGAAAAAGGTGAATTATAGAGAGAGCCTATTTTTCTACCTACTCGGCTTTGAAAGAAGGGATAATTTATTTCTTATTTTTCTCTAGCCAAATAAAATGAAGAGTGTTGTGTTGTTTTTTTAAAAAATCAATGCCAGATAAGGAAATACAAAACCAAGTTAAGCTCTTCTGATAGATTGGTACACACACACACACACACACACGTGTGAATCATTGATATCAAGGGTTTATTATGGCCTTCATCTAATATAGTGGGTCGCTTATGTATATTTTCCATGTTATTGTCTGAAGAGATTATCTTCTGTTTTTAGACAATTATGTTATCAGAAATGAGACAGTAATATTTCATGTTTCTTTTGGTACCATTAAGGATAGCATGGAATTTAAATATGTTTAGCCACTTGTTAAGTTCCAAGACTAAAGAACAGAAAATGATCAGTTTCTATCATTTTATCTTAAAGGCAAAAATGAATAAATAAATACATCTCTGTCCAGCTGATGAATAGCCACTTTGTCTCCTTGCCATTTTGCTGTTAGTGGCCACTGTTTAGTTAAGTTAGTCCAGAGTATTTTAATGTGGATTTGGATTAGCAAGGACATCAAGCCATGTATTGATAAGTAAGTCTTGTAGCTTGTTTACAAGGTGAGATAGAGTAGGCTTTTCATGGAACCCATGCCATTCCATTTATATGTGGAAAATTACTTTGCAGTTGCCACCTATATTCCATCTCAATGCATCAAAATGTGCCATGAAAGAAACTCAAAACCATATTTGCACTACAACCTCATGTTTGTTTGTTTGTTTGTAAATAGCAGCTCCGGAGAATCCTTGAGCAGCCTAGGGAAATAAGTATGTCTCTTCTTACAGTGCAATTAAAATTCCCATCTTAAGGGATCCTGTTGTTGGTACCACCATCATCCTCAAAACCTCCAGGAACCATTACGATTCCTTCATACATTATAAAATTCAGTATATTTCGTTTATGATACTGATGTTTCTCAATTAATACAATGATGCTAACAGGTCTTACGATGTGTGCTCCAAAAGTAAAAGCACAAATGCTATTTGAAAATTGGACTGAGCTGATGAAACAAGTATTGAATTTGTACTATTCAGAAAGGAAGAAGAGGGCTGGGATACAAAGTTGTGACAAGAGAGAAAAGTGTAGGTGTAGAAAGGGCACTTTAATCCTAAGCACTCTTAACCGCCTACATGAAATGTAAATGCATTTTAAAAACATGGATGAAACTACGTGTAGAATGTCACATGTGATGACTGCACACTCCACATTTCTGAAATGATGATCCATGTCCAGTTTTCTTTGTGCAGTGAAAACAATAAGTCAAGTTATGTTGCATATACACTAGTGGCCCCACATGTCCACCAAGAAAAGCCTAGGAAACATGCATTTTCTAGGCTGTCCCATTATCTTTTTTTAAAAAATAAAACAGTGCTTCCCTGCCCCATCTCATATATATCAAAGCAGAAATTTCACCACTTGTAAAGTGGATTGTTTGCCACTGTGCAGTGCATGCAGGTAGAAGGTTACACTGAAAATAAAAGTAGAAGGTGGGGTGGACATGCTCTCTTTAAAAACACTGAAATAATCTATTTTGAATCAAAATATCCTCAGCTTGTTAAGCCATAAACATTTCTCTTGGGAGAGTTAACTTATTCAGATTTCTATTGTAGAATTTATCTTTGACATATTGTTATTTGTTGAGAGCCCAAATCATCTATTTGGTGTTGCACATGCATGTTCGAGTGATGGAAAGGAAATAACTTTCCACCTGTACACAAGGGCATATTGTCACATGTGATATTAGAAAATATCATTTCAATATACATTCAGGAAAAAAAACTCAAATAAGATAGTGGTCATTTTTTCAAAAGTAGTGTTCCATTACAAAAATGTTTTCAAATGTTTTCATGGAAATCACCTGCATACTGAAAATCCAGACCTCATATAAATATAAACTGTTGGGTTTTTTTTTCCCGTCAGGCAAGCACTATGGATAGCAGCAGAAACTATTCTGCCATTTGTAAGCGAATTTGTACAGAGCTGTCACATTTCTTGAACAATTTATCTCCATGTGGAATCCCTAAAATCACATGAATGAATCCATAGGATGGGACAGAAAAATGGATTTCATTGACAACTGTATCAGGCTTTAGACTAACTGAATCCTAGTTTTGAAGTTAGAAAGGGGGGAAAAAAGAAAACCAATTCAACTTGCCCCTCTTGACATGAGATCTCAGAAAACATACATTTTAAATCCCTATAACTTGTGGTTAACTTTTCACTGTAGAATGTCTGCTGTTTAGTCTTCATTCATAACCAAAACTGTTTG